GAAAAATTATAGATAGGATGCAATATCGGGACCAAAGAAAAAAAAATCTGAGCAATATTTCATCGCACCACAAGTATTATCATGGAAATCGGTTTTCATTCACACACACACACATACACATCTCACTTATATATTTATATTGGATTCATTTTCATCTACTCTTTGAAAAATATAACGGATAATGTTATTTATTTTTCCATTTTTTTTGTCATTGAAAAAAAAAACTTACTGTAAACTTTATTCGATATGGACACTTATATTGTGAAACTAGATCAATTTTTTCTTCTTCTTTCTCTCCAGATTCACTTTTAACTCAATAGGATTGTTGTTGTTTTTTTTCAATCATATTTGGCGAAATTATAGCTTTAGCTTCGGGTAAAATGATTCATTTTTTTCTCTTGATGTCATCATCATCATCACAAGTGATCATATTTGGGATATTTGGTTTCAAATAAATAAAGGATGACACTTGAAAGATTCGAGTGAGACTGAAAAATTGTTTCGTTTGTTTTTGTCGAATGGACAGAAAAGCACGTTTCATAAATTATCCACCACAATGTGACAATGTGTATTGTATATGATGCAGAGCGGTAAAAAAAATTGAAACAAAAAACCTTGTATAAAATGCCATTGGGGTTCAGGCAATAGTTGTTTGTTTCTTTCCTGTTTTTTTTTCACGGAAAAATGAATCTCTGCTCGTAATTCATTGTTGCCAATTTTTTCAAATCTCTTTTTTTTCTTTTGTGTGCGTGTGACGATTTCTGGTTTCTTCTTAATTGGATCGATATAGAGAAAATAATATCGGATCAATGAAGAAACAATGCACACTGAATAGACAAAAATAAATGTTTCATTCAACAATTATTTTCAATGATATTCTTGTTGTTTTTTTGTTTTGTTTGTTTGTTCATTAAAAATTTTCAATTTATCCATTTTTACATACATACATTGTATTCAATTCAGATTTCTGTCTGTCGTTAGTATTTGTTTTTTAAACATTTTCGTTATACAGAATCATTAATATTTAAAAAAAATTCTCCATTTTTTTCAGGCTATGATGATGTTTATCTGTATGAATGTGTTTGGTACCAATCCTATTCGAATGAAAATGGTTTCTTTTCATTTGTTGTTCATTAATTTATTTCAATTTTTTTTATGTCATTGCATCTCTTTCAATTCCATCATCATTATTTGTTGAATCTGATTCTAATGATGATCGGTCAAGGGGGAATTCTATTAAAAAAATTTTTGTTAATAGATTTATCGTCAAGAATTTCTTATTTTTCCCCATTATTGCAATACACACAATTGTATTTTTAAGAAAAAAATATTTTCCATTCCCCAGTTGATGCAAAAATTGAAAATTAAATTTTGATGAAACTTTAAAACAAAGAGAGAAGAAAAAAAAATAAGAAAGAACATTCAATAAATTCAAGATTGGAAAGAAACAGAACAAAAATTTTCACAATAAACAATCATAATTTTTGATTAACATCAATTTAAACGTCATTAAAATCTTTGAAAAATTTTCACACACGAATTCTTTTCGAATATCATCATCATTGAATTGAAAAATTTGTTTGTTCGATATACTGGAATTTGATAATAACAACTTTTAACATCATCGTATGAAAATGTGTCAAATTTAAAAAAAAAGATTGTGTTCATCCTGTCCTAAATTGTATTTTGTAAATTTTTGTGTTTAAAATGATTATTTTTAAACTTTTATTAGTTTTATTTTGTCAAAATTGTTCAAAGAATTATTTTCACTTAAGTGAATTGAGATTTTTTTTTTACTTATTTTGTTGTTGTTGTTTTTTTCAGGATTTTCAACAAAACCAGATTGAAACAAATGAGACAATGTGAAAACAAAACAAAAGAAAATCTGATGAAACCAACAACAACAACGGCATTCGTTTATTCACATCATCATGAGATTGGTGTGAACGAACGAAAGTGGCCATAGGAACAACAACAGAAAAATGCTGCTCACAAATTAAATTTTTTTTTCTTTTTGATGATCCAGATTCTTTTTTTTTACTTTTTTTTCACATATTGAAATTGAGATGAATCCAACAGCGAAATGAAAGCGAGAAAAAAAACGAAAATCTTGACGATAAATGAATAGAAAAAAAACCAAACGAAAAACAGATAATATCGTATGGTTTTCGAAAGAAAGTAGGCTTGAGATTTAATATAATAAATAGATTTTCCATCTTTTCAACAGCTATAAAGAGAGAATTTTTATTGTTTTTTGTTTCTCTCTCTCTCACATCCCATTCACTGTACATATCTGAATTCTCATAGAAGAATTATGCTGAATTCGAATGAAAATTGTTTCTTTATTCAAGATTTGAGTAGTTTTCATCTGTGTTTGTTTGTGTATGCAAGTTTGAGCTGCAAAATATCCAATCAAAAAAAATATAGATCATATAATATTTGTATTGTAGATTCATTCAATTTGGCCTGAAAATTTTTTTTCATTTTCATTTTTCACTCTTTTGCAACTATTATTTTTTTGGTGACAATTCGGTGTTTATCATCATTTTATTGTTTTTCCGTTTGTTGTTGTTGTTGTTTTATTTCATTACCAATTGCTTAATATGTTTGCTATTTGGTAATGAAGTTTGATCATCAAGAATATTTTGTGTTCACTATAACAAATAATGATAATGAAACAGAAAGAAAAAGACGTTGATTGACCATCCATAAGATAATGATAAAAAATTTTTTTTATTTTTTTTATTTTTCCATTCCGAATTTTCGTTTTGTTGATGATTATTTTGTCTGCAAAAAAAAAAATCATGTAACAAAAAACTCGGTAACCATGATTCATATCAATAAACCAAATGAATGAAAGAAATGAAACAAAACCAAAAAAAAAAAAAAGAAAAAAAAATTCACAAGAAAATCCAAGAAATTCAATTTTTCTTTTTTTGTTATGATTACCCCTCTCTTTTTGTTCAAAAAATAATCATTTCTCATTTTTGTCATCAACGACAACGACAACAACAAACAATGACAATGTGATTATTATTATAACGGAAAAAGAAAAACTAAAAAAAAAAATTCCGTTTGGTTGTCTTTTTCCTTCTCGGCTTCTTCGTATCAAAAAGAAGGCAGCCAAAGCAAAACAGAAAAAAAATCCATCCATAAAAGAGAGCTTAACCGTCGAAACAGATATATTCACCATTTTTTTCATTTTTCGTTTCAATTTTTTTTCTTGTTTGGTGATTGTGATCATCATCATCACATTCATATCCAATGAATTCCGATATGATTCAATTTTTCTTCTTCTTGAAATTCTTTTCTGAATAGTAGTGTGTGTGTGAGAGAGAGAGAGAGGAAAAAAATACAAAATTGAAACGTCAAAATTCTTCATTCGTCATTTTGGTCCCCGATTTTTCATCGGTTGTTGTTGAATAAAGGAAAACAAACAAACATGAAAATCATTTTTTAATGTCTTATATTTTTCAAACAAATAAACAAAGGAAAAAATCAATTTTTCAATAGTGGATTCGGTCGTTGTTTGATTTGAGTTTCTATATGATTTTGTTGTTTGGGAAAAAACCACGATTGTATTTTTGCATCCATGCTCAAATAATCAGATCAAAAAAATAAAATTCTTTGGTTGTAAATAAACATTTATTTATGGATTTACAACAACAATAATAATACAATTTAATAATGATTATGTAAATGAAAATTGATTATTTTGTTGTGGTGAATATAAAGCGATTTTTTTTTGTTTTTCTTGAAAACAAACTGAAATGATTATCCATAATTTGTTGTTGTTGTTTTTTGCTACATCACTAATGACTTGATTTTGAATCAAATTAAATCAATTAATCATTTTGGAATAGAAAACATGATAAGAAGGTGTAAAATTTTCAAAAACATTCATTACATGTTTTCATCCTTAAATATAGGAAGAAATCTTAATGAAAAAAAAAATATCCCACAACCATCATAATTTTGAATCGATTGAATTATAATGAATTTAATGAAGATTCTGTTTATAAAACATTTATAACATTGTTGATGATTGAATAAAAAAAACAAAAGATAAAATCAAGAAAAACTAAAACTACTGTGTATTTGTTCATCATTCTAATTGAATAAGATCTTATCGTTTCGTTTTTTTTTCTTTCTATTAGTGTCATTGTCTAAACACATCACACACACACTATGGGTTCTGGTAATCATTTGTGCATGGTTGAACATTCTGTATGATAATAAATGAATACAACGATGATTTTCATCATCATCACATAATCATCAAGAAACATACTTCGCTGTCGATCTTTCTAATTAAAATATCGTCACAATAGTCATATAGTCTGGTGGAATTAAATAATAATAACAAATAAATTATCTACACGCACGAATCATTTTTTTAATGAAATAATTTTGGGTCAAAATCTGAACCCCGAATTCATTATAAATACAACACAAAAGCCTGTCTTAGATCTCATCAAATTATTACAATGATGATGATAATTGTGTGTGTGTGCATTAAAAAGTCTTTTCTTTTCCTACATACACGCACTGTTGAAATTATTATCAAATCAATGAGCGTATTAATGATTTGTTGAGAGTCTTCAAGAATTTGTATCATTTTCGTTGATAATTTTCTAAAGATTTTCACATATAATCATTGCATCAATGAATTTTTTTCTTTGTTTCTTCAAAGAAATGAAATTTTATCATTTTACATTTGAAAATTTCGTTGAAAACCGTTTGTTTCGGGATTTAAAATTGAATTAAAATTTGAAAAAAAATTCAATTTTTTCTTTGATTAAATTTTTTTTTCGTTTTCTCAGAATGGGATTTTCTTTAGTAATTTGTATTGTTTTGTGATAATTTAATTTTTTAAAAAATTGAAAAAAAAGTATCAAATATTGGTAGTAATCAAATTTTGTTTGATCAATTTGTTACATTTCGAATGAATGTCTGTTTTTTTAATATTATTATTTTAACAAAAATAAATGTCAACCTACCTTATAATGATTATTTTGATTTTGATTATAAAAGCTATGATGTTGTTGTTGATGTTGTGATGATCGTAATCTAGTCGTATCGCCCAAATTATTAATACTGTTGATATTACTACTTCGGCTATTGCTGCCTCTGCTGTTGCTCGTCCAGAATGCACTTGTTAATCCCGAATTAATTTGATTATTCAATAATATTATAATTATTGTAATCACCATCAAAGTGTAACGAAATATTTTAAATAATAATGATAATCTAATATTAACATCCATGATGATTAATGTTAATGTAATTGATTTTGTTAAACAAATCGAATCGAATCAAATTTGTTTCAACTTATTAATGGATTATTAATAATAAAATTTATGAAAAAATATTCAATTCCATTATTCGCCAAACAATTTCACAAGTTAGATTTTTTGTTTTTGTTTCGTTTTCTTCATTTTAAATTGATGATCATCTTAACACGCCGAATATCAATTTAATCATCCAGTCTATTCACACTGTTGGTCGCTGCCCTTTATATACTCTCTTGGTTTGGAATTTTTTTCCGATTCTTTCAGTTATCGCTAGAATCAGCGCGCATGTCTATTTGTTTGATTAGATTATTTGGTTATATTTCGGTTTCAAACCAAACAAAATGTGCAACAATGAGTCTCTTATCATCGTATATATGTAAGAGGAAATCAATGTTGATAACCAATCGTGTACAATATTTAAAATAAAACTTAAAAATCGGATTAACAAGTCAAATGACCAATTCGAAGATAATTTCAGTAGTTAATGATATTGATGATGTTTTATCAATTTTCGATTTTATTTTTTGTTGGCTCAGTTTGTTTAACCAATTTTAATTGCATTAATATAAATAAAAATGGCTATTGCTTTATTATTTATCACATCAATTCAAAACTCGGATATCGATTACGTTAGTAGCGTTAGTAATGTATTGGCATACGAAAATCGATATCCATTTTACGATTAATAATTCAGATTTATTTCTGATATATATCGTGACAACATTATGTATACACATCAACGGACAAAATTCTATTAACAAAAAAAAAAGTTGAGCAATACATGAAAAAAATTGTCAAACTTTTTTTACTGATTCGATTTGCTGGTCGTAGAGAAACAGAAAAACACTTTTTGATGAATATTCCTCAATGAAATTAGATCTTTATTTTTCCTATTTTTGTAAATTCATTTTTTTTATTATATCTTTGAAAAAAAATAATAACTATTACAAAATGACACAAAATGAAATTTAAAACTTTATCAATGTTTCACTGTTTTCTAAAAAGAAAAATTCGACATTTTCTCATTATCATTATGTAAATATATTAAAATTATGTATGTTTTTACATAATCGATAATCATGTTAATTAATGAAACAAAAAAAAAATTCCGAAATGAATTTTTTCTTTTTTTGGTTTTACCAGAAAACGATTTTTTTGGTTTTCTGTGACCAATATATTATGGCGGAGTATAAATGACAGAATTTATATAGATTTTGTTTTTTTTTGTTTTTTTTTCTGGTCTGTGGCTTTTTGGGTGATGTATGGAGAAAGAGTAATACATAGGGAGAAAGAAATTAAATTTTGGTATTCGTCTGGTCGATTTTTCTGGGAAAGTTTTTCTGTTTTTTTTCTTCTTTTTTTTTGAATTTTTTTCTGACTTGGATAAAGCAAATCTTTCTGTAAAGATTTCATATAATAATGATAGAGAGAATATTCAACAAAAAACAACAACAAAAAAAATTCTCTTTAGGCTTATTTTTTTGGGTTAATATATACAAGGAATTGTAATCAAACACCGTAACGTTAAATACCGAAAATAATAGAGAGAATTTTTTTTTCTCTAAATTTCTGGCATTATGAAACAGAAATCTTTAGCTCAACCAGATTTCGTTTCATTTTTTTCATCTTTTCAACTAGACTGCGAATTGGATTTACGCAATACAAATGCATTCTTCTTCATTTTTTTTTGTATTCACAATTCTCTTGTGTGTTTATAATTATGAATACTGTTTTTGTATTTTGTACAGAGATTTATGATGATTATAATCAAATTTTTCTTTTTTTTATATTCAATTTCATTTATTTTACGTTTCTTTTTTTTGGTAGTGATAGTATCTGGAATTTTTTCCTAATGTTTTTTGTTACTGTTGTTGTTACTAACATCCACATTGTTTGTTCATTAAAAATTTTTTTCATTTCATTGCATTTTAATGAAATTTCTTGGAAACCGTGATCATTATTATTATTATTATCAGGTAATATATAGAGGTAAACAATAAATACAAACCTCAATGGGCAAAAAAGAAATAAGTAAATAAATAATGTTTTGTAATTGTAATTGGCTAATCATCATCATCATTACAATAATAATAATAAATAAATAAATAAATAAATAAATCGATATCGTATGGTCAACATTATCATTATAATTATCTCATCATCAATAACATAAAAATTTTGATCATTAAACGTAATTGTTATTTTATTTGATTAGTTTCGGTTTTTTTTTCTCTCTCTTTCTCTTTCTTCATTTCTATTATTATAAAATTGAGTAAATTACGTGATTGTTAGAAAATATTTTTCTTCATTTCATTCATTTAGAAATTAGATTATAAAGAATTTTCAACAAATAAATTCATATTTCAGTATCCGTGTGTTGGTGATGATGTTTTTGATCAAAGGTAATCAAAATCATGTTAATGTGGTTATTATTACAACCGAAAATGATCATCATTATTGCATTTTTCTCCTAAAATTGTTTGAAAATAAGAAAATAATCAATCAAAACAAAGAATTTCAATGTTTTTAATATTTCCAAGAATTATTTTTTTATTTTTCATTTAAAAAATGTATCCAAGACAATCATCTTTTTTGAGATCTTTGATTTTTGATGTGATGATTAATATTGTATTAGATTTTACTGTCAATTAAGAATAATCGACTTTTGTGCTGAATATCTTATAGCAATCATTTGCAAAAAGAATCGATAAAACTCAATGGAAATTGTTTGATAATATAAGGCTGCTGTTGCTGCATTATTTATTGATTATAAATTAATTTCATTTTCATTTCATTTTGGATATGGTCAAAAAGAAAAAAAAATATCGAAATCAAAATGATTGAATGACAAATCAATATTGTTGGGAATCGAATCGTAAAAGGGCTAATTTGTGGTCATTATCAATAGCAATTGTAAAATTTATTTCGATCATTGTGTTACGATCATCATCATCATAAAAAAAATTGGAACGATTCAGCAACAGTACAAAAAACAAAAATCAAATGAACTGAATGAATTGAAAAGAGAGAGAGAAAAAAAATGACGTTACGCATCATAAAGTTTTCTTTTTGGTTCATGTTTGTGTTTATAGATCAGAGATAGATAAAGAGTTCATTATAAATGACTTAATTTATGATGGGATTCCTCTCATTGTGGATGATAGCCATTGGTTGAACATCAAAACAACAAAAAAAACCCATCAAATATTGGATCATTTCATCTGGTTTTCAAACGCAATAGTAGTGTGTGTACTGTTCGGTTTTTTTCTGGTTAAGTTTGAAATTTTGTCCAATCCATTTTCAAACATATATAAATTGAATATTATTGATGCTGTTGTTGTTCGCCATGTTAAATGTGTTCAAATCAATCATCCGAAGGATCAATGTGTACAAACAAAACAAAAAAGATTGTGGAAAAAATATTTCAATTTTTTTTAATAAAATAAAAACTCGATTTATTTTTCTGGAATAACGCGCCTAACTCCTCTATTTCCTCTATTTTCTTGTTTTTTTTCCTGGTTTGCCATGTTGTTTTTTTCATGGCAACCTAATCAAGCTAAACAAAATGGTTAGTTTAATTCTTGTTCAATAATGATTTAGATGATCGTCGTATTTTTTTCGTTTTGTTTGATCATGATAAATCTTGGATAATAAATGTTGAATTCATTTATATGAAATGAACCAAAGAAAAAACCAAGAAAATGAATCAACAACATATTTAGTATGTAAGAAACGTTTCAAACATTTAAGGTTTGTTGATATTTTAGAAATATAAACGAAATTTATGTGAAAAATCAAAGTGTATTTTATCACACACACACACACACACACACACACACACAATCATCACTAATTTATTACTATTATTATCATCAGGAATAGTTTTGAAAAAAAAGAGAAATAACGGCTAAAGAATAATCATTATCAAGAATTCAAAGATCCCTTTCATTGAAAAGTCCAAATTTCGATCCATTTCGTTTTTTTTAATAAATTAGCCATTCAATTTGACCATCGTAGGCAATAAATAAAAGCATATCATTCATAGTGATCAGTTGAAATGTAAATCTTAAATCAAGGATGGATTTTTGGATTGAAGCGACCATAAAAAAATGAACGTCAATTGAATTTTAAGTTTTTACTCCCGACATTCGAACGTTTTTTCTCAAATTCATTTTCAATGTTTGAATAGATAAGAAAAAAACTGCTCAACCGGATAAAATCGATAGTATCGAAATATCACCCAATCGATGTTAAAAAGATATTGAAAAGGCTAAATTCTTATTAATTATTTCTGATTCGAAAAAAAAAGAAAAACTATAATCGAATATAACACCAAAAGATAACATTTAAAATCGAAATCATTTTATTATTATTCATTAATGATCATTTTGTTTTCTTTCATAATTAACAATAATGATGACAGAAGAAAAGATAAATTTTCTATTAATTAATTTTCGATAATGATAATAATGGATATGTTATTATTATTATTGTCATTATTATTCTTGGTATTTATATTTATTGTTGTTATTATTATTATGGTTGATTTTTCCAATCTGATTCATTTTCTAGAAGTTTTTTCCGGTGATGCTTCCTGCTTTTTTTTAAAAAATGGTCGTTTAAAAAAGCGTTTAGAAAATCGTTTAGAAAATCGTTGTTGTGGTTTTGATTGCTGTCGTTGTTGTAGTTGTTGACGTTGTATAGATTTTAGTTGATTAAAATTTTGAAAATAATTCTTTGCAAACAGATATTCATCAACAATCCATGGATGATGTACTAGAGCTGAAATTGTAATTCGTTTCAATGGATCCGGTTCTAACATTAGCGTTAAAATATGAATCAAACTATCCTGTGGATTTTCGGCAACATTATCGGAAAATGCCCAGCAATGTTTTAATTGTAATTGTAATTGATAATAAGGATTTTTTGCCTCAAATGGAAATGTATCATTTAGCATGACGTAAAGGCAAATACCTAATGACCAAATATCAGCCGTTAATGCATTATAAGGCCGTTCACTGATTATCTCCGGTGCCATATAATCAATTGTACCACAATATGTGCGATTCATTACAACACTTCCATTAGTATCATATGAAACCATACGACTAAGACCAAAATCAGTGATCAATATGGTTATCTTATTATTCGGATGTCGTAACAATAAAATATTTTCTAATTTCAAATCACGATGTGCAATATTTAATGAATGAATATATTCAATGGCAACAAGCATCTGTGAAAATAACATTTGCGATTCACGTTCTTTTAAAACTACTTTCATATGAACATATCGAGCTAATGTACCCGAATTGGCCAATTTAAGAAATATAAATAGATTAGTATTGACGACAAAATGTGCATACAATTTAACGATATATGGATTATTTATTTTTTTCAATATAAATAATTCATTCTTTAAATCTTCAATTTTGGATTTGTCCGTATCTTTAGCTTTACTTTTGGCTGTCAACAAATTATATGATGAAAATAAACAAAGCAAAACAAAAATAATGATTAGAGATTAGTGTGAAAAAAAGTCTGAAAAAACAAACTTTTTAGAAGATCAATTTTTTTGCATGCCACTTGAATATTGGTCACTGTATGTGTCGCATAGAATATTTGTGAAAATCCACCTTCAGCGAATCGTTGTCCCAATTTATAACCATAATATTGTAAAACTTGTGTTTCATTTGAAAATCGACTACTTGGAACTTGATAGAAACGTGTAAACTTATCCGCATCAATCAAATTAAGCTGTCGTGAATCACAACATTCGCTTAGGCTACGTGTCAGAGCATCGTGCCTTTGACTCATATTCTCAAATTTTTTCAAGAAATTTTATTTTCCATTTTTATATGATTCGACGAATAAAAAATTGAATTATTTAAAAATTCAGTATTATTGTTTATTATTAATAATCGAATTAAAAATTTTACTAGCAATCATTTATAGAAAATTTATTCGGTTATGCAAGTCAATTTTTCTTGACACCAAATGGTACCCGGTGGGCATGGCATTATATGAACCCACCAGCCACCGTTAACATATTCACAGACCAAATATTTGTGTATATTCGTTGGATGTGGTAAATCTCCTTCCTTGTAACATTTGATGAGATGTCCATCAACATAGGTTGTGTATTTGGGAGTTTCGCTTGTACTATCGGTGGTGGTTGGTGTAGGTGTGGTAGTCGAAGTAGTTGACGGGGTGGTTGGGGTAGGTGTGGTAGTTGAAGGAGTTGACGGGGTGGTTGGGGTAGGTGTGGTAGTCGAAGGGGTTGACGGGGTGGTTGGTGTAGGTGTGGTAGTCGAAGGGGTTGACGGGGTGGTTGGTGTTGGTGTGGTAGTCGAAGGAGTTGACGGGGTGGTTGGTGTTGGTGTGGTTGTACTTGGGCCCAAAAGACATTCGTAAGAGTTCTTTTCGTCACCATTGATCATATTGTGAACTTTGTTCAACAATGGATATTTCGGTCCGCAATGACCTTTGAAATCATCGTTTTCCAATGACCATATCATAACGCCAGAGACGCCTAATTCTTTGAGAAAGGCCAACTATTCCAATCATGAATTAATGAAAGCATTAAAAAGACATCCTCACAATGCTTACCTTGCATGATATACTAGCCAGATCATCGTAACCAACCCAGATTTTATCATTATATCCGTATGGAGCATTGTAATATTCATCGTATTGAATATGCCATTCTTCTTTCTGGAATAACTGACACAATTCGATGTATGAGAGAACACCTTCTTCACCCGTGATGAAACCTGGAGGAGACATGCCTTTGGCGGGATCGCCAAGTTTGACTTTGCTTCGATCTTCGATGCTCCAAGCACGACCATAGAATGGAACACCCATAACAAGTTTGTCTCGGGTAGCGCCATTGTTCAAATAATAGTGCATGGTATAGTTGACATTGAAATAAGTGTGTAATTCGTCCGTTTCATCGGGTCGTTTATACAACGGAGCATTATGGCCGAAAACATTTTCCCATCCACCATGGTAATCATAAGTCATGACATTCATCCAATCGAACAATTGGTTCAATTCTTTGAGCTCATAAGCTACGTCAATTTTATCTTTACCGGGTGATACTGCGGCAGTCAACAAGTAGCCGAAAGGTTCAAATGCCTCTTTAAGTTCTCTAACCAATGTTAAATAGTTTTGTTTATCGATTTTAGGATTGCCTAACCGTGATCCTGGATATTCCCAATCCAAATCTAGGCCATCGAATTTGTATTCTTGCAAAAAGTCTAAAACTGATTGAACAAATTGATGACGATATGTTGGATTGGCTGCCATATCCGAATATTTTTCTGAACCTTCATACCAACCACCCAAAGAAATCATGGTGGTCAATTCTGGATTCTTCGATCTCAAGTTGTTGAAACGTTCATACCCGTCTATAACATAGTTTTGAGTTTTTTTTATAGATATACAATTAGATGAAAAAACTTACGTTTTTCCCATGAGTTATGGTTATCATCTTGATATGGATCAAAAACTTGAATGGTGTATTTGTATTCATCGATTTTAGCAAAACCATACATCAAATGAGTACATTTGAAAGGATCAATATCTTCAATTGTGTATGGATCAACTTTATGATAAACGGACCATGTTCCAACATAGCAAACGATTCGCATTGGATTTTTCGAATAATTGTTATGATCTAAAGAAAGCCATTGTTTATTTGAAGCAATAGTTATCATTCACTTACCTCGTTTAACTGCTGCATTCATAAGGCCAAAACAGGCCATAAGAATAAGGATTGCACATGAAGTTTTCATTTTGAATAGCAATCTATGGAAAAAAACGGTAACAATCCACCGATTAAAAGTGATCACAGGTATCCTTATTTTTATAATCAAAGTATTAGAGCGCAATAATGATAAATCTTATCGCTTATTTTAAAAAAATTTTTGATTGATTGATCCGTGATCTCGTGATTATCGATTGATAATAATTATAATCTAAAGTGTAATAAGACAATGCTTGATTATCATTGTTTTCCCCCTTCGATTGTTTTTCACTAAATAGGATTTAAATCCGAATGATATCCATTGGAATGATGTGATCAATCATAATATTGTTCGATTAATCCAACCCATATATTGATAAGAACAAATCATGGATCAAAGTTTTTTTTTTGATATATTTGATACATTGAGAATAAATGAATTGGTTAATTATGATTTCATTCTAATTTATAAACATCAATGATAAACTTTACTAACATAATTCTTTTATAATTTTGGTATGAAACATTGATTAAATTATTGATTTTCAGAGGAAATTTGAAAACTGGAAATAATGGATTCAAATAATTTTATTTAAATTTCATTTAGCAATAAACTGTTACAAATATATCAGATCATTCTTGAATACAATTTTTTAATGTTGCGTGCCATCTAGTTCCCTTTGGACAATCCATAATGTGTACCCACCAACCACCGTTTGGTGTGGCAATATATTCACAAACTAAATATTTATGAACATCAGTTGGATGTGGAAGATAACCTTGTTTATAGCATTTAATCAAATGTCCATCAATATACGTAGTGTATTTTGGTGTTTCGCTTGTGCTATCGGTGGTGGTTGGGGTAGGTGTGGTAGTTGAAGGAGTTGACGGGGTGGTTGGTGTAGGTGTGGTAGTTGAAGGGGTTGACGGGGTGGTTGGTGTTGGTGTGGTAGTTGAAGGGGTTGACGGGGTGGTTGGTGTAGGTGTGGTAGTCGAAGGAGTTGACGGGGTGGTTGGTGTTGGTGTGGTTGTACTTGGGCCCAAAAGACATTCGTAAGAGTTCTTTTC